TAAAATGGGCAAGGATGGACTGCACCCATTCGATGGTTACTCACGATGCATACAAAACTCAAACAATGGAAAAACAAAAAAAGATGGACCAAGAAGGCAAACGAAAGGATAGAAAACAAAGACCCACAAATCGATCCATAGTTTTAGTAATGGGTTGAACAAGGGCATAGATCAATAGCCTTTTTTTTTTCTTTCGAGGTGTATAGCAAAACCTAGCCACTTCAGCCTATCCTACTATATATTGCTTGTGTGAGGTCGTTATTTGTTTACTTTAATTGTGCATTAGAATTTTTTTTTTCTTAGATTTCTTGCTGCGATTATGTGCCTAGGATAGCCTGACTTTTTTCTCGTCATACTCTCAGAGCAAAATATTTTTTCTACCTAACCTAATGACTTCTAACATAAAATTACACAACTTAAATAAAATAATAAAATCACCTATAGGTTTAGTCAATAAACTCAATTAAAAATCGTAGGGACATCATAGCCATTTGCACTTGCATACAAGTTCTACTCCTTGCCTTTGACACTTTTTTCCATTGCATATATGAGGCACATCAAATCAAAGAGAATATCCACCCTTCTCGAGGAAGACTACCATTTACATGATTGACCTTAAATCCACTCTCTTAGCATGTATACATATATTACTCGTGTACATATGACCTTCAAATCAAAATCAAATTGTTTATAAATAATAAAACTAAATATTATAAAATTTTGCATGAATTAGATGTATATTTGTCCAAGTTGCTCAATCTTTGAGGCTGACTTGTAAGTCTCAGCGCATCTTCCTAATTTAACAACAAATTTACCTATCCACTCATGCACATGATTGAATTCATGACTTTAAAGCATATGTGGGTGAGCTAGCTACCCTCTAAAAGAAGAGTTGCAGGCCTATATGAGTCTGGTTTGATTTCATTCCTCAATGTGAGTGAAGCCCTTAAGTCTCAATATGTCTTTTTAGACTCTCTACCCATATTGGTGGCGCTAAACTTAGTTTAGGTTCTGAGATAACATGTTTGCTCTTTGCTGCAACAAACACTCTCACCTTCTAAGTGTTTTCCATAATCACATATTGTTAAAATATAGGCCCTAAATTTTTAATAAAATGAACAACTCAAAATCTAAAATCAATATTAATTTATAAAACATAAAACCTAACCATAGGATAGTCTGAAGCACCACTAAACATCTCAATAGCCAATGTTTCCTACCCTTCCTCTGTTGGCTTCCCGTAATAAGTGTTTAAAATTTGAGCCAATGTTATTGAAATATCAAAACACCAACCTTAATTGTAAACTTTGATATATGTAGAAACGCGAGTCACTTTTTTAATTGAAAATTTTTCTATAAGATAATATCTTTTATTATGTAAATAATTATAGGAGCTTGCTCCTACATGAAACATGTACCCTAAAATAAAATAAATTATGTTCCACCCACACATAGCAGTGGAAAACATTCAACAACGTAAACCCGATATTGAAACCATCATTTCATGACCATATCCATCATTATGTAGTAATTTCACATTTCAAGATGATATATTATTCCTAAAAACATATCCAATCACAAAACGAAAAAATTTTAAACACTTGTGTTGTCCACACATTCCCCTTCTAATGAGAATGTAACCCTTCTCCATGCATAGACAACCTCCTTTATACATTGATGGATACTTTTACAAGAAAATACTACTCAATATCCCAAAGGATTGTATGAAGTATTCAATTATAATTTTACCAAATGAAATAGATTATTGATTTATAAAAATAATTCAATTTTCATCTTAAGACTTGGAGGCTTGGTGGCCAACCCAAATAAGATGTGATTTTTATGAACTTCCACCATTCTATTACATTTTTTCCATGACATCACTATATTTATTCCTACTCATACAAAGATCAAGCAGTCTGTCAAACTATGATAGATTGAACCTAATCATGATCTATTGGCTATTTAATCACCCCCTCCCTTATAATTTGTCGATTTTTTTTATATTGAACTAGTCATATTTTTCTATAACTAGTGATAATATTTTTATTTTTTAAAGCCCTAAAATCTATTCACCATGGCTAAACATCCATCCAAATCTTGTGGCTTTCCAATTAAAATTCAAAAATATTAAAGTATAAAAAAATTCTTTAAAATATTTAGAATATAACTATAAATCTCAATCTAAATCTCTAATTGGTTTCAAGTCTTCACCTTATACTCTCCCTAGCAAAGGCCTAAAGTTAAATCTAATATTTTTTTTATTTTTAGGTTGTATCTTGCATGTGTTGGCCCATAAAGTAAGGTTTCCCTTGGCTTCTCCCATCCAAATCCCAATCATTTGCTTTCACACCTTCCCTAATATCCTTTGAAATTTCTTAATAAAAAATATCATATCACTCAAAACCAAGCCAACAACTCCCATCAAACTAGGATTTCAACTCAATACTATAGCAATAACTATCAAAAGTTTTCATCAATTAAGCAAGTTGGAACCCATTCAATTCTACGTGTGACCATTAAAGGCAATATAACCTTTTTTAAACCAAATATTGCACATTAAAACTAGACTTTCTTTTAAAACCTCGTTCTAAAACAAAAGTAAACTTCAGTGCTTCATATAAAAGGTTCGATAATAAAAGTTATCTTATGTTCATCATATATATCATCAACCAGACTATACTCACCACCCAAAACTTTATGCAAACACCAATGTTCAGTGTAACTTGTGTAGTAAAAAAGTTCCATAGGTTGTCATGTAACATGCACACGTCGCGCATATCCATCCAATATTTGGGTAACAAAGTGTGACAATTCTACACACACATTTTGTTGGAATGCCTTCACCCACTAGCCAATAAAGATGTAATACTTGGACATTGGATGATTAAAACACTAAAGATAAAATAAAGTTTTCATCGTTAGAGACAAGAGATTATGTGTATGTGGCATATGGTGATAATACTAAACAACAAATAATTGGAATTGAAGCAACTGAAAAAAAAAAACACACACACACACACACATCAACCATTAAAACTAGCCTATTGCTTAATAGTTTAAAATATAATTTAATTTTTATTAGTGAATTATGCGATTATAAATTAGAAGTTATATTTACTCATCATATTGTATCATTAAAAAAAAGATAATATTATTTTAGTAAAAAAAATAAGTGTAATGATATTTATTTAAATGATATCAAAAATATGATCAATGAAAATTTAACTTTGTCTAAAACCTAGCACAAATGATACTTTATTAACACGGAAGACTACATGCAAGTATGCAAAAACTATAGAAATAATTTAAACCTAGATTTCATAATAGAATTATCAAAAAATTATTTTTATTATCTTTGTGATGCTTGTGTGCATGACAAATAAACTAGAAATTCATTTAAGAATAAAAGAAATTATCACTAGTCCACATGAATTTACTTGGACTTATTCCAACATTAGCTTAAAAGGAAAATCATATGAATTCATGATTGTAAGAAATTATTCAAAATGTAATTTGGCTAATTATCCTAACAAAAAAGCATGATGCATTTAGAGAGTTTAAGAAAAAAACAAAATATATTCATAAAGAACATGCATGTTAGGATTATTCAAAATGTAATTGGCTAACTATACTAACAATAAAGCATGATGCATTTAGAGAGTTTAAGAAAAAACAAAATATATTCATAAAGAACATGCATGTTTTATTTCTAAGATTAAGAAAATCATGATTGAGAATTTGAAAGTGGATGAAAATGAAATCAAACATAATCTTTCACCACCTAGGATTCCTTAACAAAATGGGCTTATCAATAGAAAAAAACAAAACATTGATAAAACTAGCTTGATCAATGCAAAAGATGGACATAGGCTATAAAACTATTTTTAGGTAGAAGTAATGAATGCTACAAGTAATGTAATCAGTAGAGTTATATTTAGAGATTTGAAGGGCAATAGAGTTATCATCCTCGGGAATCAAGCTCAAAACAAATCCTAGATAGGTCGGTAAATCATTTAAAATTTCTATCAAAAGTTGAGCCTAAATTAATTGATGAAAACATTTAAGGATAAATATTGGATTATCAAGATATGTTTGGGAGTTGGTTCTAAGACTCGAGATCAAAACATAATTGGAACAAAATGAATGTTTAAGAACAAGTAAGATGATTTGGATAGCATTATCAAAAATAAGACTAGAGTAGGTGTACAAAGATGTACCCAAATAAAAAGTAAAGATTTTGAGGATCGTCGACCTCGTTCCCTTTAATAAGATTAACAAAATCCGTTCCTAGCCTGCTGTTAGTCTGTAAAATCCATCTCTACTATAGGATCCCTCAATAAGTTCTTGAAGGTGACCCCCTATTGGCTATATAGCATATGGCCAACTAAAACCAAACTAAAATTTCTTAATACACCACTTTTGATTTTAGTGAACTCAATTGGTCTTCGGCTCATAAAATAAAGTTCATTGAAACCAAAATCAAACCTACATTGAAACTAAGGAACCCCTAGGTCATCTTTAAGATCCTTGAATCCTATAAATTCAAACCCAAACGAAAGTCTTGGGACTCATTCTAGCGTCCTGTGACTCACCTTCCGGTCAAAAAGACTTTATCAACCCAATTTGACTAGGTTAACTCATAATGGTCCGCTACGACTCGCCCTCTAAATCACTTCATTTACTCGAGAATTCAATCCCAATAGAACTAATAAAGCTTAACATGCATATCAAAAGCAGAAAAGCAACCATAAATAATGCAATAGTCCTGAGATTCTGAGCCTGCAACAGCCAACACAGAAGAGATTTTACTTTGAATATACCAATGAAAAAAAAAACTAACTTTGTAGCTAATAAACTTCACTGTTATAGTGAAAAACTATTCATAATGATAAGCCAAAGTTCTACTAAATCTCAAAACAAAAACTTTAAGGAATCTTTAATCTTTTCTCAGAATGATTTCCAACCAAATCCTGCCATTGTTCAACGAGGTAAAAAGTAACACAAAACAACATAAAGGAAAGAAACAATGACATTACTTTCTATAAAACTATAGACTAAAATTTTCCATATGGTTCCTTACCCTGACATCGTTCTATGATTTTAAAAGGTGTTTCAGGATCGAATTTAGTAGGGAGAGAATGTGGAAAGTCAAGAGAAAAGAGATGCATAGTTGGCAGGGTTTGGAGGGGGACTGAAGGAGTTCGGCAGCTTCCCGGACTGATAACAGCAGGGAGAACGACAAAACGCCGATCTCGTGAAGGTATGGCTGCTAAGGGAGGGTCCACCGCTTATTCTTCAATATGTAGATTCACCGTTTGAAGAAAAGTAGGCTAGAGAAATCAGGAAAACAAGCTCTACAAATTACATAAACCAAAGCAGATATCTCCAAATCCAAGTTATAAAGGCATCAATTAAAACTAATTCTAATTCAAAAATAAATAAATAAAGGCACAAAAGACACATAACAGCAAATTAGCACGAAATTTACCCACTATAGTTTCGCACGGGATGGGAATCCCGCTCTGTCCATCCTAGGGCATCCTTTACCATTACCCAAGCTTCAAACCATCACAAATAAAGACATATTAAAAGGGCTTAGAAATCCAAGTATGAAGCGTGCCATTATAAGTACATTAAAGCTACAAGTTAATTAATAACAAGTGAACAATCATTTCAAAAGAAACTTTAGCTCGCAAAACCTTATAAGTCCCATTAGGGCATCCAAACTGAAAAAGATAACTATAAAATTCAAATTAGAATAGCAGTCTGTTGGGAATGAAAACTTATTAGGAAAGAAGTTGACTCGATTATAAACATCGAAATAAAAGAACAAAATGTGCTGATTTGTGAGCTTTAACATTATCAATCAAACCATGTTAAGAGAAATAAAATATACAAAGCATCCTCAGCCATATTCAACAGCTACTACTCACCAGCAACAATGACGGGGAGGCCCCTGAAAGAAAACCGTCAATAATCAGTTTGGAACAGCTCTACGGCTAATATTTATTAGCAGCACAAAGGTAAATAAAGTAGCAGATGATAAGCTATATAACGTTTATTGAATCCTGTATTTGATGATTAAAAAAATTAAGGGTCATTTACATACATACTACCCAATTCCTAACTAGGGCTGTAAAGGAGCAGGGCTTGAGCGAGCTTAGCCTCGGCTCGTGTTCGGCTCGTTCCAATTTGGCTCGTGTTCTAAAGGTTTCGTGAACAGTGTGTTCGTGTTCAGCTCGAATAACATATTCTTGTTCGTGTTCGGCTCGAAATAGACTCGGTAGAACATATTCTGCGGAATAACACCGAGTAACACTGCAGTGTTATTCGGGTGTTATTCGAAGTATTATTGGTGTTATCGGTGTTATTCCGAGGTGTTATCCGGGTATCTCGGTGTAACACCGCAGAATAACACCGCGATGTTATCCGGGTATTATTTGCGGTGTTATTGATGTTATCGGTATTATTCCGCGGTGTTGCACTGCGGAATAATACCGAGTAACACCGCGGAATAACACTGCGGTGTTATTCGGGTGTTATTCCGCGGTGTTAACGGTGTTATCGGTGTTATTCCGCGATGTTACACTGCGGAATAACACCGCGAATAATACCTAAAAAACACCGCGGTGTAACCGAAAACACCAATAACACCGCGGTGTTATTCCGCGGAATAACACCAATAATACCACGAAATATTGAGTATATTTATATTTTTATTTATTAATTAATTAACTTATTTCTTTTCGTGCCAATTCGAGCCGAACACGAGCGAACAAATATATGTTCACGTTCGGCTCATTTATATTTCGAGCTAAAAAATTTGTCTGTGTTCGGCTCGTTAAATTTAACGAATGAGCCAAACATGAGCTGCTTAACGAGTCGAACACGAGCTGTTTGCGAACAACGAGCCGATTTGACCACTCCGTTTTGACAGCTCTATTCCTAACTAATTACATATCAAACACCTAATCTTTACTTTTAACATTTAGACAACCCAAATCTTTTATATTATATTAGAAATACCATAATATTAACTTCTAAAAATGAAATACACCAAAACAATCAACTGTTGGCCTCTATAAGTGATCAACTGTTGGCCTCTATAATTGTCTAAATTCACCAAAACTTAAGAGCACTCCTGGAAGGAATTTGCATGGAGTACAACATCATGCTGTTATGAGGGGCATGCCGACGGTAATCTGTACATAAATAACACTTGAAAATTGTTTTAAACTTTAAAGACCATAGCCAGTTCATGCTTCCTCCTCATAACTAAAACCAAACATTAAGGGCCATTTGCTACATGTCACCCAATTCCTATGTATTTACATATCTAAGACCTAAATTATATTTCTTTTTACATTCATACCGGCTCAGATCTTTCATATAACATCAAAAATATCACTATTTTAGCTTTTAAAAATGAAATAAACATGTTCATGCATAGATAAGGTGGCATATATGTAAAAAATTGAAGTTTAGTTGTTAAAAATGTAAATGTATAGACATTAAGCGAATCTTCCAAACATTGAATAGCGCTCCTATGAAGCTAACACCCAATTTGTTTTTCAAGTTCTGATATGCATATTCAACTCTATTCAACGTCGGTATGTAAAAAATAGAAAGACCTCATTAACAAAAACTTCAACGAAGTCGCTGTCATGAAATGTAACCTTCAAGTAACATGGCAGCAGAAAGTTAAGCTACGATAGGGAATTCATTACTAGAAATTATAAAATGAAAGCCTATTAAAAACTTAAGAGAAATTTACATAGCTACCACACAATTTTTATGGATTTACATATCTAACACCTAAAGTATGATCTAAAGTATGATATTTACTCATAACACTTAGGTGTTATAAACATAAGCATAAAAAAGTGCATTTGACTTTTAAAAGTTGGTAAAGTGATAGTTTCAATGTGATCTTAAGGATTTGAGTGTTACGAAAGCAAAAAGTAAAGTTTAGGTCTTAGATAGGTAAATACATATTTACTGGGTGGTTTATATGTAATGCCCCTTAAAATTATAATTAAATATAACTGGTTAGAATTTTAAGTTAAAGAAAAAAAGAGGTCGCATGGAAATATTTTTTCTCAAAGGATTGCATGAATAGATTTATGGTCACAAAAGGTGTCGATAGCATATGCACGAGAGAGAATTTTGTAAAAAGTTTACCAGCCACCGACAGTTCGTGAGAAAAAGTCATTGTCTAGAGAAATGGCAAGAGCGACAGCGACAGCTCTTTCCGACAGAGTCAATGGACGCTTAACTTCCAATTCTTGTACCTAGAAAGCATTAAAAACTTAGTAAAAAATAAGCGAAAAAAGTATCACATAATTTGCTTTGATTTATATAGAGAGCTTTTCAAGGCACTTACAACTGATGCAAGACCAATCTTTGGACTTGAGTAAGCATTACCAAATCGAATGACATACTGACCAGCATCAGTGAAAAGCTGTGAAAAGAAAAATATTTACCTATTTCATTTTCACTTTCATCAAAAAATTAGTGCGCTTAACAAATTAAATCTCACTAAATGAATGGATGATGCTCAAATGACACCGAAAATCAAAACTCAAATGTACATTTCAGTTTTTCAATTAAATTCTGACATAAAAAATAAAAAATGGTTGGCATGAATTTAACAGTGATTGGGGGTGTAAATGAGCCAAGCAGACTTGCGGGCCGACTCGAGCTCGGCCATATCATTAGCTCGTGAACTAAGCTCGACAAGCCAACATGACAAGCTCAAGCCAGCCCCGACTCGACTCCTTAGTCGTGAGCCTGCTCATTTTAATTTTTAAAAAAGTTAACTGAAAATAGATTAAAAATTCAAAAACTTAAATGTACATTTCAGTTTCACTTTCATAAAAAAATTGCTTAACAATTTAAATCTAACTAAATGAATGGATGATGCTCAAATGGCTCCGAAAATCAAAACTCGAATGTACATTTCAGTTTTCCATTTAAATTCTGACAAACAAAAAATAAAAAATGGTTAGCTTGAATTTAACAGTGATTGGGGGTGTAAATGAGCCAAGCAAACTTGTGGGCCGACTCGAGCTCAGCCATATCATTAGCTCGTGAACTAAGCTCGACGAGCCAACATGACAAACTCAAGCCAACCCCGACTCGACTCCTTAGTTGTGAGCCTGCTCATTTTAATTTTTATTAAATTAACTCAAAATAGCG